AAAAAAAAAAATTTGACCTCTGGACTTGTCTTCATGGTGTAAATGGCTATCGAATGCTATTTTTGTGTGAAAATTCTCGATTTTATAATTTACATTTTTTACTTTAAAGTGCTATAACTTTTTAAAAAAAGTATGGATCAATACAATTTTTTCATGAGAAGTAGTATTTATATACATCTTTCATTGGATATACTTTTTTTTCTAATCAGACTATTTCTCTATATATGGGGGGGCTTCAAATATAAAAAATGCATATAAAAAGTAGAACTTTTTCAACTTAACTTTTGAAAGTGTTCCGGAAGGTCTGACACTTTTATATATATCTTAAATTAAAGCTAATGTAATATACTTTAATTTGAAAAAAAAAAATTTGACCTCTGGACTTGTCTTCGTGGTGAAAGTGGACATCAAAGTTAATAAAAAAATACGATTTTAGTAAAATAATTTTTTTTAATATTTTTAACTTAATAATGCTCTAACTTTTTCAAAAATGAACATATCAATATAATTTTTTTTTATATAGATGCTTGATGTCTTTACTTATCATTTGGTATATTTTTTTTGTAAATCTGACACTTTATCTGCCCACAGGGGGGGATTTAAAATGACAACTTTTTCACAAAAAATTAACTTTTTCAACTTAACTTTTGAAAATGTTCCGGAAGGTCTGACACTTTTATATATATCTTAAATTAAAGCTAATGTAATATACTTTAATTTGAAAAAAAAAAATTTGACCTCTGGACTTGTCTTCATGGTGAAAACGGCTACCGAATGCTATTTTTGTGTGAAAATTTTCGATTTTATTATTTATATTACATTTAACTTTATAATGCTATGACTTATTGAAAAGTTTATGGATCCACACAATTTTTTTATGAGAAATAATATTTTTTAATAAACCCTTTTTCATTCGACATACTTTATCTTAATCGAGATATTAATAAGGAACCAGCAGATCAAGTAGCTTTTGGAATAAAGGACCAATTTTTTTTAAATTAAACACTACCTAAAGATTTGCATTGAAGTGTTTATTTTTGATAGTGATTTTAATCACTATCAGATATCAATATACTTGATCCAAATATGCCACGTCACCACTGTGCCGCGACGCCCCTGTGCTGGGTTTTTTATTAATGTATTGAAATATATAGGATTTTTATGTGTATATATTAGTAATTTGTAGCAATATTATAGACTAGCAGTAGGTATACAAGAGCATATAGACTCCCTTTGTATTCCTCGTGTATCTAATAATTCCAATTTAAAATTGTTTTCTAGAAAAGTCCAATTTTAAAAAAATAGTTCTCAATTAAACAAAGCATCTCATCTAAATAACGATTTTCAATACGAAAAATATTATTTAAAGTAGTGCCTAGAGCCTATGAATATTCAAATTCCGCCCTGTGAACAGACCTCGTACATAATGTTAAAAGCATACAAAGTAATTTATTTATTTGTTGCATAGAGGTGGTCGGATCTAATAGAATATGCCATTCATAAATTTTTGAGTCTATCTCAGTCACATGATCCATTATTAACATTAAATAAATCGTTAAATTCACGGGAACGTAGTGAAATTTTTAAGTAAAGATTATTATTTCAAATAAATTTATATAAAAACTAATAACTATTGTTTTTTTCAGTTGGACTAAACAAGAACAAAATGCTTTATTGGTATACTACTTAGAATGTACCACACACGATGACCCAATTGGAAAAGTAGTAAAGATGTATGCTGATAGTGGTAGTATACGGAAAACAAAATCTAGTGTAAGTTAGTTCTTTATAATAACGAAAAAGTTAGTAAATGAATATCGTTATTTTCAAGTGATATTTTTTATACTGTAACTCAGATTAATTTAATTAATTTTTCACGACATTATACTTGTAAAAATACTAAATTTAAATTTTTATTCAATATTTTAATTATTCACTTACGCATTGTAAAAGTGTAATTTTGAACCGCGACATAGCTTCATGTTTTAAGTTTTTACACTTTGTGTTAGTAATAATATATAAGCAAATTCTTGCATATATATGAATTAATTATTTCATTTATTACTTAAAAACAAACTTATTGTTTACCTAGTATAAACAGCATATCAGTTTTTTTTTCGTGAATATTATGAAACTTTTCGAACAGGTTAAGATAAATTTTTGAATAGCTTTATTTATCTTAATTTGATACCTTATTAGCACTTATTATAAAAATATAACTACTTCAAATAATATTGATAACTTATGAGTTACTTTATAGACAATTTAATGTAAATTAAATTTACATTAAACTATTTAATATTTCTTTAAAACTTTTAGAAACCAAAAAACTAAATATATTTTTTCGATTTTCTGTGATATTATTTATGTTTATATCTTTAATCATACAAGGATATCAACTTCTTTTTTAACTTCGATGCGAAGCTGAGAAGGTATTGGTTTTACTATGATGTGTTTTTTTTTTTTTTTTTTTTTTCTGTTACCACTTTTTCTCAGCTCTCACCGAACCGATTTCTTTCAACGATACGTCAAAAGATCACAAATCGTATCTAGTCGAAGAAATTACCCTTCAAAATTGAAAAAATTTACCTCGTTCCCCGTAAATGGGGGAAACCTCCAAAAAAATTACAAATTTAAAAATCGCTAATTTTCGAAATTTTTTCAATTTTTTTTACTAAAAACTGCCGTAACTTTTTCAAAAATGAACATATCAATATAATTTTTTTTTATATAGATGCATGATATCATTACCTTTCATTTGGTATATTTTTTTGTTATATCTGATCCTTAAACTGTCCACAAGGGGGGATTTAAAATGACAACTTTTTCAGAAAAAATTAACTTTTTCAACTTAACTTTTGAAAATGTTCCGGAAGGTCTGACACTTTAATATATATCTTAAATTAAAGCTAATGTAATATACTTTAATTTGAAAAAAAAAAAATTGACCTCTGGACTTGTCTTCATGGCGAAAATGGCTACCGAATGCTATTTTCGTGTGAAAATTCTCGATTTTATTATTTATATTATATTTAACTTTATAATGCTATAACTTATTGAAAAGTTTATGGATCCACACAATTTTTTTATGAGAAATAATATTTTTTAATAAACCCTTTTTCATTCGACATACTTTATCTTAATCGAGATATTAATAAGGAACCAGCAGATCAAGTAGCTTTTGGAATAAAACACCAATTTTTTTTTAAATTAAACACTATCTAAAGATTTGCATCGAAGCGTTTATTTTTGATAGTGATTTTTATCACTGTCAGATATCATTATACTTGATCTAACTATGCCACGTCACAGGGGGGTTTTTTCAAATAGAAATATACATAATTAACTTGTTTATTTAATAAATAATGATCTAGTTAAGAAAATGACTGGTTCATAACAACCTTTGGAAAACTAATAACTTTTTTTTTAAATTATTTTATAATAATGCATTTATTAATATTATTTTGATACCTAGGCTGGGAGGAAAATAAGAAGTGAGAAATGTTTAGCTATAAAAATAATATAAACGTATCATCTCCAGTGTATATTTTTTAAATGCTTTTATATTTTTTAATATTTTAATATTTTTTAAAGGTTGTTTTGGGCTAATCATTTTTTAATAAGTTCATTATCTATTGAATAAGTTAGATAATAATACTTGAAAAATTAAAGTAACACCATATTATTTATTTTAAAAAATAGGTTTTGGAACAGTTATTACAGCAGGACATCATAAATGAAGAGCAATATAATAAGTATAAACAGGAAATTCAAGAGGTTACTGTTTACATACTATAAGATTTATACTGATTTTAAATACTCACATTATTTTGGATTAATAACTTTTGTGTCTACCATCATAATTACTCAGTTAATACCGACTGAAAATTTTCAAAAATATGTCGAAGTTCAAACATTTTTTTAAGACATTAATATCAAAATTAGTAAAAAAAAAATTTCCGGTCTCCGCAATTAGAAGAACTCTCTTCAAAAATACCATAATTTAAATGGATAGATTTTTATGGATATGTTAGCTTTAATAATTTCCCTGTAGATAAGGGATAAGAATACTTCCACGGCCCCTGTGCCAGACGTAAGAGGCGAATAATGAGGTTGTGTCAGATCGACACCGGCGTAAAAATTTTTGTCAAATACTATGAGGTTTCCTGAACAAAACTTAGTCGAATTGTCCTATCTCGGATGGACGCAGGGACAACAGAAAGTAGTTAAAAACGGAAAAGGCCAATAGAATAAAGTGTTTGATACCAGCCGGACAACTTGTGCGGTAGCTGTTTCATCAATCATGTGTACAGGTCTACCCAACGCTTGTAGTGTCAACGTTGTAGGGACATCACGACTTATATCTAGGCTGGATTCGTGTATAAGGGAGAAAGATAGATACCAAGTTACAATAGGTACTTGGAATGTTGGAACATTAACTGGTAGAAGTGGAGAATTAGTAGAAGTATTGAAGAGGAGAAAAGATAACATTTGTTATGTGCATGAAACTAAGTGGAAAGGAGAAAAATCAAGGGAAATAGGTGAGGGTTAATAGTACAAAGAATGGTGTAGGGATAATAATAGATGAGGAGATGAAAAGTAGAGTAGTAAAAGTAGCTAGAAAAAGTGACAGAATTATGGTCGTAAAATTGATGTTCGAAGAAAAAGTGCTGAATGTAATAAGTGCCTTTGCACCATAAGTGGGATGTGATGAAATAGACAAGGAAGTATTTTGGAGAAAGACGGATGAGGTTATGCTAGGGGTACTTGGCAATGAGGATGCGGTGATAGGTGGAGATATAAATGGACATGTAGGTAATGAAAGGAGAGATTGAAAGAATACATGGAGGGTATGGTTTTAGTGGAAAGAATGAGGCTGGAGAAAGAATCCTGGATTTCGTAGTATTGTATGATCTTGCTGTGGTTAATACTTATTTTAGAGAGAGGGAAGAACATTATATAACATATAAAAGTGGGAGGAATAGATCACAGATTAATTATTTTATGTGGAAGAGAGAGAGCGTAAAACGAATAAAAGATTGTAAAGTTATACCAGGCGAGAGTGTAATTACAAAACATAGACTGATGGTAATGGAGTTGTGGTGTACCGAAAAAAGAATAAAAAAAATATGAGGAAACACAGGGGGAAAATCGAAGATCCGGTGGTGGTAATTGAAAGGGGAAAATGAAAAAGAGTTTGTAAAGATGGTAAAAGAGAGACGGTGTGGAATGTAAAGGGAGACATAAATTATGTGTGGAATAGATTTGCTAGTTGCGTAAAGAATACTGCAAAGGAGATTGTAATAATAAAGAGATAATAAAAAGCTGAGAAGGTATTGATTTTGGAACTATGATATTTGCATGTTAGAAAGTCATATATTGAGAATAATTTATTTCTATAAATAAAAACAAAGTTAGTGATTGTATATTATTCTTTGTGATTAATCAGAGACATAATTTCAGATTGTACTAGGATGGGGAACATTTTGACCGACCCATCTTACAAATCATCTCGCGGTTCATTTCCTAACATCTAATCCCTATTATATATATTATAAAAGTTATCATAATATAACTTCTTCTTAAATAATTTTGACGATAATAATTAAATAATTTTCAATCGAATTTTCTATGAAATAACTTTTTGAATCATAAAAAAAATTAAATAGTAAGTCTTTTTCATTAGTTAAAATACAATCTCATTACTTTTCTTAGATTATTATAAATTGGCTATTAAGAAGGTACGGTCAGCTCAAAAATTATCTGGCCAGCAAGAGTGTGAATTGATTGACTCCAGTTTTTATTAAAAATTAGACTAGAGCAAATACTCAAGTTGCCTCCCAAATGACGCACCTATAATTAATGATGATATCAGACATTATATAATGGCTATCATGAAATTGTAAATATGTAGAATACAAATGATGTAAACTAAAAAAATTGTCCTTAATTAAAATACTTCGGTAAAAAGTAAAATAAAGTAGTTTCTTATTTATGAAATTCTTTTATAAATTTAGAGTTAAATTAACTAGCCCGCTCAGTTGGAAATGTCAATACACCGCGCGCGTGTCTTTTAATTGCTAACAATTTTTACTAAGTGAAAAAGAATTTATTTAATCAAAAACTCGGGAAAGGAATATCAAATAATACTATATAAATACATAATATTTGTTCAAAGAACTTCTTTTTTAAAATAATATTTATTAACACATAAATTAAAGCAGAAATAATGTGCTATGTAACTTTTTTTTTTATCGTAATTTATTTTATTTTTTACAGAATATTATTGTACTGGAAAATCTTGATATATGTTTGAAATTAAAAATTTAGTTTAAAAAAACTAAAAAAACACATTTTTATAGAACAGGCGTGACCAACGTGCGGTCCGCGACACTGTTCTATGCGGCCCATAGTTTAATATAGAATTTGAATAAAACAGAAAAATTTGATAAATGCTTTATTTTAAATATGTCAGAAAAAAATTCAAATACAAAGTTAAAATCAGTGTGAAACTTGACGTTGTTTTTGTAGTGACAACTTCTTGATGTCAAATTCAAATTTTGTAGTGGCAGCCCTTAGTAAGTAATGAAGATGATCATCTGTAAGGTGAGATCTTTCTTTGCTTTTGATACATTTTATCCTTGAAAATGTTTGTTCACACAGATATGTCGATCCAAACATTGAAAAAACACGTTGAGCCAGTTTTTTTAATTCAGGAAAATTATCATCGTCAAGATTTTTGTAAAAATTTGGTAAATTCTTTCGATTTTCTTCGTACAAGTCCTTTTGTAAAGTATTAGTTTTCAGTTCTATTATTTCCATTTGAAAATTTTCCTGAACTACAGCTTCATCCATCTGAAAAGGATTTTCAATCAATCGAAACAACATACTTTGTTCTTTAAGTTTTTTAAACCGTGTATGAAAATCCGTTTTTAATTTTTCCAACAAGTCTACAAATTTTACAATTGAAAAATTAAAAAAATTCTTTTCTTGTATTTTTTTACAGCAATTAAAGTGTATAAAATTGTTATTTTCAATTTGTCTACTAAATAGATTTAGTTTCAGCTCAAAAGCGGACACGTCATTTAAGAGTTTAAATATGAATTTGCCCTGTGTCTGTAGTTTTAAATTTAAATCATTGCAGTGACTAGATATGTCGGTCAAAAAGGCTAAGTCCCAAAGCCACAATGAATCAGAAAGTTGAACGAATGTTTTTCCTTTCTCCGTCATAAAAATCTCTATCTCAGCAAGAAGATTAAAAAAGCGTGATAATACTTGGGCTCGGCTTAACCAACGTACCTGGTTGTGGTAAAGAACATCGGAAAATTCACTACCGACTTCTTCCAAAAATGCNCAATTCACTCCCGACTTCTTCCAAAAATGCTTGGAATTGCCTATGATTCAAGCCACGGGAACGAATAAAGTTCACAATGTCTCTAACAACATTCATGACGTGGTCCATTTCGAGTACTTTGCAACATAACGCCTGCTGGTGAATAATGCAATGAACAGGCAATGGCTGTTCTAAATTTTGAGTGGCCATTTGATGCAAAATTTTTGTGACTAATCCATTTTTTGAACCAATCATGCTTGGTGCACCATCTGTTGTTAGTCCGCAAAGATTTTTCCAATTTAAATTCAACTTTGTTATGCACTGCAAAACTTCTTCAAAAATGTCATCTGCAGATGTGCGGTCTTTCATACTCTGTAAAGATGCAAGCTCTTCAGTTATTGTAAATTCTCGATCTATTCCCCGCACAAAAATGAGTAATTGCGCTGTATCACGATTGTCCGTGCTTTCGTCCAAAGCCAAGGAAAAAAAAGAAAACTGTTCTGCTTTTGTTTGCAACTGATCTTGTAAATTTTTACCAATGTCTTCTATGCGACGAGTAATGGTGGGCCGAGATAGACTTATTTCTTTGAACGCAGAGCATTTCTCAGGAGCGATTTCTTCAATAGCTGCGATGATGCCCTTTTTAATAAACTCGCCACTATTAAGCGCTTGTTGGTATTTCGCAATAAGATTTGCAATCTTATAACTTGCTGTAACGATATCGTCCTTTCCTTTTACTTGTCGCGAAAACATACTTTTGACAGCGCTTGTCTCGTCCGCGAATTTTTTTTTGATAACTCCAATTTAGATTCGCGAGCCTTATCTTTAATACTTTCATATTTTGATTTGTGTTTGGTTTCATAATGCCTCTGAATATTAAATTCTTTATAAACAGCCACAGATTCACGACAAATAAAACAAGTTGGTTTCTCGTCGAATTGAATGAAAAAGTATTTATACATCCAAATGTCCTGAAAATGACGATTTTATTCGGAAATTTCAGACATTTTTATTAGAGTATTTATCACAGAGCTAAAAAAAATTATTTTTATTACCAATAATTCAATGCACTTAAATATCACTTTCACTGGAATATAGTCGCTTTCACATTATAAGCAGGAAACTAACTGACTCAAGTGTGCAAAGGACGCATCAATTAATAGTAGGCAAATGTTAGTGTTTATATTTATTTATAGTATCAATGTTTTCTATCACCTTTAATCCCGCTCGTTTATGACCATATTTGGTAATGTTTACAATCTAAGTAGGTTTTTGATAATGTTTACAATAAAGGTAGATGTTAGATAGATAACACATTTAATAATGTTTATAATATGGGTAGATTTAAGTTAGATTATTAAAAAATTTTCAAAATGTGAATTTTCATAGATATGCGGCCCGTCTAAGTTTTGCTGAAATGACAAATGGCCCGTAAACTTAAAAAGGTTGTTGTTAAAAATGCCTGTTATAGAACATCGAACTAAAAAGTTTAAAATAATTTTTAAAATAATACTAGTATTTTTCATTCATTATTGTTTTAAGCTTATTTTATAAATTATTTTTAACTTTTTAGTTCGATGTGCTTTAAAAGCGTGTTTTTTTAAACTTTATTTTCGAATAAAATGGTTCAAACAACATTGCAAAATCTGTAAGTCTCATGATCGCAAAATCGTAGTCAGGATATTGTAACGGACGTTTTTTATCTCTTTCAAAGATATTGCTACAATAGCAAGTTGCGTGTTCACTTTTGTCGAATTTCAATACTCTATAATGCTGTTCTCGCTTTCTTGTGTTCAGAAAAATGCAGCTTCGCGAGTTTTCTCGTAATGGGATATGACAAAGTCGATACGCACATTCTGCAGCCGATACTTGTCGTTCATGAAGAATCTTCATATATATCCTGAACAGTTTGTGTGAAATATCAGTCTCTTTACGTTGATTTTGCTGTATTGCTTGTGCAATTTCAGAATCTACGCCTTCAGGTTTTGCTTTCGATAGATATTTTGCTATATAGTACGCTATCGCTTCGTTTGATCCGCACGGCTGAATATCCATGTTACCTGTCCATAATCTTAATAACTCTGCGTGGTAATTATTTACCACGCATCTTCCAATCGACGCTTAAGTAAACAAATTCTACCTTCATTACAAAGAAATTCATCTGATAAATGTGATTCAGTTCGTGTTTTGTTATATTCTTGATGTGGAAAGTTAAATCGGCATCTGACAGAGGTATTATTTTTTGTACAAGTATATGTATGCCGATGAATTTGACATTTCTTAACTAGCTCGTGATGCCGCCCTGAAATAATGCCTAACGACAGTTCCAGGGTGGCCCATAATAATGCAGACTGCGTAAAAAAAAAAAAAGCTAGATCGTGAAGCTCTGGATCTTCTTCTTCTGTAGGTATTCTACAGCAACAGTTAATATCGAGAAGAAGTTTCTCTTCTTTCGAGTTAAACTCTGGATGATTTTCAATTCAAAACCATATGAAGGTGAGGACTGCCCCAATTCTGGAACTCAATACGCCACTAATGGTCTTTCACTTTGCTGCCAAATATGTCATCATTGTTTTTGATAAATGTCATTGGCGCATTTACTCTAAACATGAAATGTCGACTCAAAATTACTGGGTACTTTTCGATAAGTCTTTGAGTCTTATAAATGTCGAACGTATTAGGATAAATATCAAGTCTACCATCAACTATTAATAATAAAGCTCTTTGTTGATCTAATCAGTTGAGAGCTAAATGTTACTAAGTAGGTTGGAGCTCCCAACATCTGATTTGACTATTAGTTCGTTCAAGGCTGATCTCCACTAAGCTGCAGAACCTCTCAATTTTTTCACATACAGAGAGACGTTTTCAACTACTCCTTCTTGATTAACGATTTTCTTACTACATGCTGATATAGTGCTTTTGATACGATAATATTCAAAAAAGGATAAGGCGTAAAAGAGATAGTCGTTGCGTTGAAATATTGTATCACTTCCCAAAATTCTAAATTGAAAATAGTCTAATGCTGTAATATTTACGGGTCTTTGCTCTTTAAAACTGCACTTTCTATAAGGAAATAAGAAGTACCAGGCAAATTCTTCTGCTTTCAGTTTATGGCCAAAATTAACGATATTGTCTTTCGTTTTACGAGTGATCTCAATGAGATTCTGTGAAACCTGTAATTCATCTTCCACATTGGGTTGCATTACATCAATCGGTGCCATCACTGATGTCTTTTGAAATTATTTGATCAGTTAATTTCTGTTGAGAAGTGATAATTTCATGTGAAGTAATATTTGCCATTGTAATGCATCACTCCGAATGATTGTTCACCTGTTATCAATATGCCGGCGCTATATACCACGAACAGATCTTCCGATTCTAAGGCTCGGCTTTCAGTCACATGCTAACGCAAATGCTGCAAACGAGATTCTTTGTCTAGTTCAGATTCCAGGGCTCGGATCTCAGCCATGTGCTGACGCACTTGCTGTAAACGAGCTTCTCTGGCCTCCTTTGAGTGCATGGCTATATAATTTTTCATATAGAGCCTACTTTTCTCTAATTCCTCGCTTGAGAGTCCTGCAGTTCTTTTAACTGAGTTTTCTCTAGTTTTCTTTAATGTTCTTGTTGTCTTATTGGACAACTTGCTTCCTGTAACAGTATACTTTCCAGTAGTCAAGTTACCCACTTCTGAAGAGCTGCAGTCATTTGATAACGACGCCTACGAACCTGCTCTCTCGCCCTGATCAAACGCCGATACCTTATACTAAAGTTCTACTTGACACGATCTCTCGCATCCTCAACGCTTACATTAGCTGTCCTCATATCACAAAATATCTCTTAATGAAAATAAAGCGTGTTAATATATAAATTTTAATAGAAATTAGAATATATATATACATGTAAAGCAACTCAAGTACAAAAATGTATCATACACAAGGTAGAGCCGTATTTTGTGGACCTCGTATTAGTCCTGTATCGTCATTTTTTGTCACTACCTACATGTGCCGGAAGTGGGTATTTTGCGCGCCTTCAGCCTTCCTTGGATGTGGTAGCCGTTTCTCAGACTTCCCCTCCGAAATCGAACCCTGATTTCCCGTTATCCGTAATTAATTACTACGTAATTAATAATACAAAAAGTTTTATGGGACCCAGTTGTTAAATGCTATAACGAACGCGTTGATATGGAGTGTATTGTACACTATTTGTCTATCGCTGTCGTTGCAATTTTAAGTGTATCAGCGGCGGCGCCTCATGCGCGCGTTAAAGATTATAAAGACAAACAACTGATTAATCTACTTGTTTTAATATTTAAAAAAATAACTAACGAAGTGGAAATCTATAATTGTTGCGCTATTGACAATTTATGATAACCGGGTGAGGAATTCACTGCTGTCGAACTGTGTGATTGAAATAACTCGGAGACAAGGGAATGTGAAGGAAACCTAGCTGTTTTATTTGAAAAATAAAATTTTAAAAAAAACAAATGAAGGTGAAGCAAAAAAAAGCAAATGGTTTTTTTATCTTGATCCACTGTAAGACTGGTTACATCCTTACTGGGGAGCCAGTTGGCACGACTTACGTCGCAATAATATAGTCTACACTGGTTTTGAG